CCTTTTGAAACTGTTTATGGCTTTTCAACCAAAATAACTGTTGGATTAGTATCAATCCTGTAACCATATTTGGTAAGTACTTGACCCCGTTGTGCATGGTTCTTTTGGGTTGCCTTCACCAAAAGCAACTTAACTGGAGAAATAATAGAGAAAGAGGTTATTATGGTTTATTAATATATTTTAAGAATAATATATTATAAGAGAAATCATATTTGTTTAGTTAACATTGGTCAATAATTAATTTTGTGATCAAAAGAAGTTAACTGAACTAGGGGGATTGAACTGTAATTATGTGATAGTTGCAAAGTAGGGCAAATGATGCCCTATATGATAGGGTGGACGAATTCAAGGGGAAAAGACCTTAGAATTCATTTATGATAAGGTTTTTAGAGTTATCCTTTGGATTGCTTAATGGGAAAATAATCAGATTAGGATAAGGACTGAAACCCTAATTCCTACACTTATATAAAGACCCATTGGCATAAGAAAATCGGCCACTTGATCCTAGAAGTTCCTAGAGCCAATTTTACCTCTCCCCTCTCTCCCTCTCTATTTTGCTTCTTCAATTGCTCTTGATATTTGTGAGCCATTAGAGGTACTACGCTTGTGGTACTTGCTTTCAAAGACAGTAAGATTCTAGAAACAAGTTGTTATTACAATATAACAACAAGAGGTATGTAATTCATAAACCATTATAAATTTTGAAAGTACTAGGAGCATGTTAGGCTTCTTTTTGCGTTCATAATGGTGTATAACTAATAGTGAAAACATAGATCTGTATCTAGGGTTGCATGCACACATAAGATTGTTTGTATAAAACTCATCAGTGGTATCAGAGCATTTGGTTTTGTTTTCAATTAGTTTTATACAAATGTATGAATTTGACACATTAGGGTTTATAGCCAATAAACCCTAGAGGCATGATTTTCGAAATTAGGGTTCTTAAACCCTTAATTTCGAAATTTGATAGGGTTTCCCAAACCCTTTCCTTCGCCTCCAAGATTTCAAATTCTAGAGTTATCGAACCCTAGGGTTTCGAAATTTGCCTCCTTGCCAAGATAAGATTCATAAATTTTAGGGATTTAGATATGTCATGTCTTTTGATTATCTCTTTAATGGTTTAATTTGGTAATTAAAGATTTTGAATTATCTCATCCCATATTTTTGAATTTTAGGGGATATAAGGGATTAGGACAAATTAATTGTTTAATTTAATAAGATAATCCTTCAAGATTAAATAATTCAAATTAATTGTTTAATTTTGGGATAATTATTATATCAAAGTTTTAATATTTAAAATTTAAAATTAAAAGGCTTTAAATTTTAGGAATTTTAAATTTCATTAAAACCCTAGTATTTTAAAATATTTAAAATACACCCTATACTATTATAATATTACAAGATATATATATATATATATATATATATATATATATATATATATATATATGTGTGTGTGTGTGTGTGTGTATAACTTAAAATGCTAGTCTTACCGTTAGTAGGACTCATTCACGAAGCCGATCTATAAGGGGGTATAAGGTTATGGCCTATAAAATGGCCGTTTAATGAGTGTCCACTCTCATCCACCCAATGCATATTAAACTTTATTCATTCATTATTATTATTATTTTAAAAAGTAATAGAAAATCTCATAAATGGTCCCTGGGTAGTGAAATGATAAAAATGTCCCCTACTTAACGGTGAAATGCTAACGTAGTGAGCCGGAATGACCAAATGTTAAAAGTTTTGAAACCACAGGGACCATCTGTGAGGTTTTTTGAACTTAGAGATTAAACTTGATATTTTCAAAAACCACAGGGACCATTTTTGAAGTTTTGTCTAAATATTATACATACATTTATATAAATATTAGACATACACATTTTTAAATAAATATTATACATGCATAGATAATATATTTATGCTTTGGAATAAATTTCCCACAAATGATCAACTAACGCATTTGGTAGACTGAAGTGTGCTTCTTTATCTTTAATACGTTTATATCGAGCAAGAAATTGTTGGAATTGACTGTCTTCGTCTATCGTCAATTCAACCTCTATCATATTTGTAATATATATTTTAATTATAAGTTTTTGTAAAATACGTTATCATTTTTTAAAATTTCAATATGTATTTAATTTTTTATATGAATTTGATAAAAAAACAAATTTTATATTTATAATTAATTAATATAACTTAATATATAAAAAATATTATAATTATTAAATATTATATTTAAATTATAATTAATAGGTAAAAACGAACTAGAAATGTATAAATATATAAACAGAGGGATTAAAACCGACAACGCAAAGTTCATCCCCATTTTGGGGGAAATGAATAAATGGGGGAGTGTTATAAATATACCACCATATATGGTGTAATACTATTCATATCTCCCAAAATAAATGAATAAATAGGGGAGTGTTAGAGAAAAATGAGAGAGAAAATAAGGAAACAAATGGAGAATGAAAGTGGGATGAAAATGCTCTCATATGCCAATCATTTTGTTGAGTTCAATGAATATTGATGTCACTTGATCAATATTTTGTTGAGTTCAATGAGTATTGATGTTTAGATGTATTTTTAGTTGTTAACTATATTATTTTATTTTATTTTTAACTATTATTTATTCGTTTGATTGTAAACCATATGAAATCAAAACAAATATAAACAATTATATTTTGTTGGCATTATATGATATAGAAATTTAAAAAAAAAAAAAAAAAAAAAAAAAAAATCTATAAACTCAAAATATTTCTTCAAAATAGTTATCACAATTCACACATGTTTTCTTTGAAAAACAAACAACGAAAGACATACAAAATCTTTATCACGTTGACAATGTCAGAAGCACCTCGTCAATATAAGTCTTGAACAAACACCACAACACACTTTTTATGCCAACCCTGACCCGACCTGCCAATCCGCTATGTATGCCACCTTGTCTCCACGTTCATTTGACTTCCTACTTCAAAATCCGAACGACCAAACCCCTCTTTCTCTATATATATCCCCCCCCCCTTCCGTTTCTCCTCCTCAACCTGCCCTACTCCGGCGACTATTTCAACCCCTCTTCATTTCTAACTTACGATCAAGGTACGAACTTTGTTTCTGTTTATTGGTTGTTCGTTTATGCAAAATCGCATCATCTTCCATGTTTAAAGATCTCCAATCTTTACTTTAGGGTTCATTCGATCCCACAACCAGTAGCTGCTTTGTTATAAGTATGCAGATTCTATAAGTTTTCAAATTAGTAAAAGGGATATTTGTAGTTTTATACGATAATCATGATACTGTATCCAATTTATATTGACAATAGTGGATGATACAGATATGAGTGAACAGAAGCGTACCCCTCGTTTGAATGAAAGGATCCTATCTTCCTTATCCAGGAGATCCGTCGCTGCTCATCCATGGCATGATCTTGAGATTGGTATCTTAATTTCATCGATTCTATTAACTTAATTTTTTTTTTTCTCAATTTATGATTACTAAACCCTGCATGCCTACACAGGACCCGGAGCTCCCCAAATTGTCAATGTGGTAAGTTAATCTTGTTAAATGTACCCAATCTGTATAAAACTTTTCTTCATCTGTTTGGCTACATATTGAATTGGGTTGATCTGTAAACAGGTTATTGAGATCACAAAAGGAAGCAAGGTGAAATATGAACTTGATAAGAAAACTGGGCTCATCAAGGTTGATCGCATCTTATATTCATCTGTTGTCTACCCTCATAACTATGGCTTCATTCCTCGTACCCTATGTGAAGATAATGACCCCATGGATGTTCTTGTCCTAATGCAGGTATTTAAGTGGATTTAATTATGGTGTTTAACTATTTATGTGGATTTATAATTAGGAAATATATATATATATCTTTGAAAGTTAGTAATTGGGTACACTTGTAATTGCAGGAGCCTGTGCTTCCAGGATGTTTTCTTAGAGCTAGGGCCATTGGACTGATGCCTATGATTGATCAGGTGCTCTATCATTATCATTATCATTTATTGTTCATTTTTATGAGGTGAAAGTTATGAACATTTTTTTTTTTTTTTGGAATTTAGGGAGAAAAAGATGACAAGATTATTGCAGTATGTGCTGATGATCCAGAGTATCGTCACTACACTGATATTAGCCAGCTGGCACCTCATCGTTTGGCTGAGATCCGCCGATTTTTTGAGGACTGTATCCTTTTTTAAATAATTGAAATTAATTAAAGAAGAATGCCATTATATATAATAAAGAATTATGTTGCTATTTCTTGTATATATGTTAACATAAATCGGGTTTGGGTTGAAAAGATGTAATGGATTTTCTTGACGAAGAATTAAAGACAAGAAAAATGAGAACAAAGAGGTTGCAGTGGATGAGTTTCTGCCTTCGGATACTGCTCATGATGCCATTCAATACTCAATGTATGCTCTCTCTCTCTCTCTCTCTCTCTCTCTCTCTCTCTCTCTCTATTTGATTATATGTATATATAATATATGTATATCATGTGTTTATGGCATTATGGTATTTAATTAATTGTTGATGAAAATGATGATTTTGTCCCGGGTGTAGGGATCTTTATGCTGAGTACATCATGCAGACGTTGAGGAAGTAGATGGTGATGAGGCCATAACTTATATATCCGCCATCCATAGTTATTGATGGTGGCAATTTTTCTCATTTTGTGTTGGACTATGAAAGAATGATTTTTGTTATTGTTATTTTGTTATTTTCTATTATCACCGATTATGTAATACTCATTGGATGTATCAAATTTGGTATGATGTTTATTATGAAATCAAGAAGCGTTGTATGGGAAGATGATGTTTAAAAAATATTTGAGAAAATGGAAGTATATTTGGGAAAATGAAAGTAAAAACTAAAATGTAAAGGTCATCTGTAAAAAGTTTGGATTTATGAATACCAATTTTTCTAAGTAGTTTTTGTGTGTGTGTGTTACAAATATTCATTTTTCTTGTAATGAGCCTTAATTGCCCTAGTCATTTTCTCGCACAAGGGTTGTGCCTAGACACAATATGTCACGCCCTAAACCT